GAATTAATTTTTTATTTTGTAAATATAAAAGACAGTAACATTTAGAATCAGAAAAGTCAAGACTACTTTGAAATTTATACCTGTAATCAATAACAAATGAAATAAACGATATTCCAAATAAAATTATGATAAGCTGCAATTACCTAACAAGTGTTTATCAAAGATGTTTACAAGATATTTAGATATGGATGTATCGGGAACTATAATTGGTTTAAATATCGATGCCACGTACGCGCAACACTAATCGTAAATTAATTAGTAACGTCAAACAGTGGTCACCAGCGGGAGGTAAACACTATGTAGATAAAGATTATCGATTTTTCTAACAGTCGAATACACAGAATGTAAATAGTAACGCACGCAATCAATATTCGCGAATTAAACCCAGCCACTGAACTTCTGTTCTGCTTCATATTATACGAAAAAAAAAACTTTTAATATTTTTCTACGTCAAATTTTAATCGTGTTTAAACTACCACATATATTATAATTGAATTCAAAAATATAATTACTATGTGTTTCGGCTTGTATTCAACATTACATAGTTCATCTGAGAAAAGAAACATACAACAATTCTTTAAATACACATGCTGTTTTCGCATACGGAACTTGATACATTTTAAGTTTCGATGCACTCGGTGTCTCCATTTATCCATTACAAATCAATCATTTGCAATAAAACAATACAAATCCTACTTATCAGGAGTAATAAATATATCTCCTAACAATGTTTAAGACACCACAAATAATACTTCATGACAATTGAAGATAATTTCGCATCAAAAGCAACGGTAATAGCAACGGTAAGAGCAACGCAAATGGATATATACTCATAGTTATCTGACCTATCTGTCGAAATTATCTGATGTACAGAAAATTAATAACTGCGTGCAAATGTAACATAATTGACTAAATGGTCAGAGAAATCTAAACGAAATACATTTCTTTTGTGTCTATGAGTACAAATGGAGAGAACAGATACTATTATGAGGGGCTTACCCTCTATTTGTGACATACATTGACCTCTGCCGCAATATTAATTCGTCTGAAAATCTCCACGGAAACTAGCTAATTGAAACGAAAAAGAATCGATCGTGTCTACAAGAAAATCGTCTAAAGCAGAACGAGGATACCCTGATTGAGAAAAACATGCACGGTGGATGGACACAGACTAAGTGCTGCCCGGGCATGGCTCTTGTCAAAGGCCTAAATAATAACACAAGTGTTATTGTTTCTTTGTCCGATCGGATGTAGACAACGATGGGGAGTTAACGTGGCCCCGTGCGAATAGAAAAACGGTGTCGACGGCCCCGAATCGATTCAGCATCCCAAATCGTTACCATGCGTGTCACACTTACTGTAATATTGGCGTGTATTTCGTATTTCTTCCCATTTTTACCGACGAACCTACAGTTTAGTTCGTCCACACTCGCAGACATTATCTGAAATCTCTCATGGTTCTTAGAGAAGACGGACTCAAGAGTTTTGATCTCCAGCTTAAGGGTGGTCAGACAAGCCATTTGGGGGAGCGTACAAGTGTGCTGTACCCCAAATTTTTCGGCGGTGCTTGCTCCAAAAAACACAGCAACCCGAAAGAAACACGACGTACCCGATGACTACCCGACAAAATGGCGACCGCTACTGACTACTTCGGCCAGCATCGTGAAATTTCGTTCGCCACCGACATAGATGCCAGCACTAAGCAATTCAAAAGCACTGACGTCCTTCCGGTCCAACTGAGTGCTGTTGAACGTGTGAGAGGCATTTAAAATTTCAGCTTTTAAATATTTTAAATAAGTGTCTTCGAAATGCATGTAAGAGAAACGATGTTTCAGTTGATACGTAAAACTTTGAAGAATAGAATTAAATAGTTCTTCAGGCATCGAGCGTAAATGTAATGAAAGTAATTCGTTTCAATTTTAAATGTTCAAATCCTCGATCTTAATGACAGTGAACATAAAGTAGATAGATATACGAAAGAGTACATAAACCAAACAGCCGTGACCTTTTGATTGCTCTTTTTGTTTCTTTTTATACAATACTGACTGAAGGCACATACAACTTAATGATAATTTTGCACTATTTTCAAATTATCCTGAAATCAAATGACTTCAAATAATCAATTAACTACAAAATTCACATAATATTTTATGTTATAGTCAAAGTATATCTTAGTCTCTTCTAGCTCTAATTTACTACTATAAAATATTCTACAAATTTAAACAAAACTATGCAAATATTTATGTATTGTTGTCATACTTTAAATACATGTATTATTAAATCATAATGTTTCATAAGATCAGCATATGATTGCAGAATTTATAATTCAGACGATACATATATTATATGCATATAAAATACGATTTTTGTAATGAAATATTAGTTCAATTAATTGTAACTCGTTCTTTATTCTTGGTATTTGTATCTTAAATTAAACAAGTAAATACTGTTATGACATATGATACAAGTTATTTAACATACACTGTACCGTAATATTCCGAAGGACGGCCGTTAAAAACATGTTGTTAATATATTTAATCTAATAGAACCATTATGTTCTTAACGGTACATTATGAACGACTGAGTGAAGTTCGTACATTTTGATCACGTAGAAAATAATCAACACTTTATTAATTATATCATGAATTTATTTGAAATGTCTAGTACTTCTAATTCTTATGATCTATATGTACAGATGATAATGTGATAAAGTATAATACACGCATTATTTTAACATGTGTTAACAAATAAATGCTCTAATCTAACATACTAAAAATAATTAAGTTTTAATTGTTTGGTTGGACTGGATCCACAAATCACTTGTTTTTTATTTCGAAACACACTGCAAACAATATATTACCGTATTTCCCACCTGTGATAGGAATTGTTTATGAAATAATTCAAGAAATTCTTCGAACTTGAATATTCATTGATGAACTGATATTTACATGCCCTGCATAGGCTACATGTAGATAACTAAATAGGTAAATGTACCTCTCATGTGATTGATTCTTCGTACATAAAAAAATTGCATTTACTTATAACAATGTGTGTGCAATGTAATACAATAACATTAACGAAATGAACTTTACTAATAATTTACATCGTTTATTACAAAAAGAATGAAATATCTACAGCAGTATCTTACATACACTTGCGAAGAAAAGCAATGTTTATTAAACGATAATTATCGCATCCATGTATTTCGATAATGTATTTATATTAAAATATACAAATTTTAATCTGGCACGTTATTAGATATAAACAATAAATATTTTTGTTAATATTATTGCACAGACATCCACATCGAATACTTTTTGTGTACGAATTTCTTGTGTTATTTTTGTATTCCTTTTATTTTTTTAGTGTGCCAACATTAGAAAAGGGTAGACACCAGTCCATTGGTATATAGTCTTTTCAATGGCAATAGAATCTTTGAGAGTTATGATATGACTAAATGTAATTTATAAATAACAAAATATACCATTTCCACCGTAACTTTTATACATATACATACTTAGTTTGTTTTATGCAATAGTAATAGCGAATGTGAAAGTTAATCAGTCAGTAATACTAATTTAAGCCTCTTTCCTGAGGGCGGGACCAGTTGAAACCGCGTACTTATACGCCATATTGGATTTCACTTTTATTAGTTAGTCGCACCCTACTTGTTCTTTATCCCCCGAAGTAAATATAGAAAATTACATTAAATAATTAGTTTTAAACGAGTTCGCATTTGTACCTATATGTGAAAGTATAGATTTCAAACGGAAGACCATCTCAGGCGGCATTATATGTTCTATGATCTGTCAGTTTAAAAACATGAAATAGTGTTCCCACATTATCTGATTCCAACAAATTACTTAATACAGATTTTCCATGTGCAAATAAAAATCTGTTATGTTAATATTGAAAAATTAACATCCATGAGATATGTTTGCCCTTGATAAATACCTAACAAGTATTCTATTAATAATAACTGAACTACTGAAACGGTTTCTAACCCTGTATAAACGATTTTTCGACTACGAATTTATTAAGCAATTCACAATACTTATTAAGCGTAACATAAAGGAACGGTACGATCTAATGTCTTCGAAAAGAATCAATTGCATTTCGTGAACGTTTTCTGGAATGATTGTACTCGTGTCTCATTTGATAAATAATTCATATCTCATTGATTGTTAATGTATATCATGTTTTTACAAGTATCCTAAGCTGCATGTTGTTTTTTCCTTGTAATATTTACACACTGACAATATCGGAACAGAATTAACTGCATCACTGTGTACGGTGATCTTGATAATTGAATTTTATAAAATAGATTTTCCCAACATTCAAAACAATGTTTCACCTAATAAGTCTTGCTAAACTCACGTCACAATTTATATTAAATCATTGTTGTGAATTAGTAACGTTTTTAAATTATTTTGCAGCTAGTTATCAGGATACATATTAGCAATAGCTAGGAACTTGAAGAAGCATTACTTCCGTTTCTTTAAATATACAAATGCCAAATTTCTTTTGATATCCGTTCAATGTGGAATGCAGGTGAATTTTAAACAACACACCTAATCCACTTTATGTCCATCAATGAATCGCATATCAGCACTTTCTTTCTCCGGATCACATATTAAGATTAGAACTTTTATTTTATTTACAAAGAAATACTACACGTAAGATACTCTGCAGCAGAGGTAGAAAAATGAAACGAAATTAAAAAATGAGGAATGGTCTTATTGATAGTTACGATAGTCTCCGTTCGTGCTTTTGTTCCGTTTAGGAACTTTCAGCTTCAAACGAAAGATCAAAGAAATATGTTGTTAATTTTAATACAAAAAGCATATTCGAATTGCCAACTGTGCAACGCTAGTTTTATACATTTCAGTTTTATTTACAAGCAGGACACTCGTCTCATAGATACACTTTGGAGAAAGAAGTAGCTCACAGTATGTCACAGATTCCTTGTATGTAAAAGGTAATCCTTTAGTTTCGTGCACTCTCTCTGGCACATGACGTCAATATAGTTTCATCTGTGTTTTACGTTTCCTCAGAACACGTAATTCTGCTTTGTTACACATGAGTCAAAAATGATCGGGTTCATTTAGAACGCCGAATGATAATAGTCATAAGTAGGCCAGTAAGGCTGTAGCCAGTCCTAGCTAGTGCGTTGCCGCTTTTTAGCTTGGTGTTCCTCAGAGGAATGGGCCGGTACTGGCATGACCATGTCTGCATTGAACATGTACTTTAGTTGGGGCATGTATTTCATTATACTTTTTACTTGTATTAAAGGTAGCTCTTCGTTTAGAGATGAACACTTCCCTGCTTCCATTAACATTTTCATTTGTAACCTTTAGTAAAAAAAAAATTGAAATTAATATTCACTGATATCAGTTACCAGAATATACGCAATAGCAGAATAGTCTTACCTGTTTCCTTGATATAAGTCTATGTGCAAGACATCCGTAAGGACTTGTCGACAACTATTGATGCTACAGGCAGGAAAATACTGAGCGACGAAGTCAGGAAGCGTCATCAACAATTCGGAATAGATATATGGCTTGAAATTAATACAAGGTACCATTTTGTCTTCGACCAGTGCTTTTTGAATTTGATAAGGTTGAACTTGACAGGTTGATATATGCGTCTCTGGGATTGGTATCAGTGGCTTTCGACCTCTTGAATCTCTGTAAGTGTACATTTAAAATTTATATATGTAAAAATATGAATGATGTATATAAAACAAAGATATAATATATATTATATACATGCATACCTGGAACTATTACTGCTACCATTAACTGGTATTAATGGTGGAGGATATTTTGTATGAGATGTGTTGTGTACAGATGGTGTATGCCTCTGTGGATGCAACAATGTGGGTGCTGAAGTAGGGGTCGGCATCAGAGCTTGTACTTGTTCACTTAGACCAAGCATTTGAGGGTATGTACTTGCAGTGACAGCATTAGGTACACCTAAGCTAGGTGTGGTATATGTAGATGTAACCCTAAAATAAAAAAAATGTTCATTAAACTTTAAGAAATATAAAAATCTAACATACAATTCTAGATAAGCTAATTTTTAATACTTGGGAAATATAAAATATTTACTAATATTTGATGTTGTATACATTTCACGTATTATCTATATATCCTTATAAACATCGTATTAAAGCAAAACGAAATACATAGAGAAATATGTACATTAAGTATTAAATTTTAACTAATACATTAAAAATTCCCTACAAAATGTATACATCGGTTTATTATATTTAATAATATTAATTAAAACTGCAATACTATAATAGCATTTTATATGAATTATCATAAACTTTAGTACCTTATTCCCTAATAATGTAAATGAAAAATACCTTATACTAAGAATGAAATTAGAATAATAAATTAATAAACCAAAACAACCAATGTACATGTGTTGCCATGACATAATAAAACTAAATAAAAATTATTTATATTTCCCATGTATATCAACATCTAATTTAATGAAATATGAGAGAAGAAGAAGGTGATTATGATTTAAATTGTAAATAAATTTAAAAAAAATGGTTACACTCTCAAAGTGAGTATCTATGTATAGTAAATTAAAGAAATAAAAAAAATTAACAAATAGTAAATACATAAGTAAAGTTTAATGAGGCGATACAGGCAATATGTAGTTATTGCGTTTTGCAAGAAATAAAAAGTTTGTTAATCATAGTATTTTTGTGCATGCTATCTTACTTTTATGTAGTAATCATGACTATAGTACATTTTACAGGGACTCACCAGTCATCCTTCCCATAGGTTGGATAACTATACAAAAAAATCATACATTGTATGTACAAATGCAAAAGGCTATAGTGCAGGTTCACCACATAATAAATAATAAAGTTTTGCAAATACGAACTGTGTACTTTCAAATAAAAGAAATGGTTCCCTAAAATTTAATACAGCATGCTTATTGTACTCTAATAAATACTGTATTAAGTGGATTTATTTTCAACTAAAAGTATTACAAATTTTTATAAATAATAAATATATTTAAAAGTTTCAGTACTAAACGATATATCTATTTATTTAGTGAACATTTATATTTAATTAACAATGTATTGTATCTTATGCAATATATTTTGAATAATATTTTGAACAGAAACAAAATTATAATTAGCACTCAAGTAGGAAATAATTTTAAATGTGAATAGATTTAATCGATATATCTCACTGCGTGCTTTGTAACATTGAACTTACATCTAGTATACAATTTACTGTATTCAATCACTAAATTGAAAGCAAGCACAAAGTATTGATAATGCTATATAAAACAAGAGAAGATGCTGAATGTGAAAAAAAAACCGAAATTTTCTTGAATATTTGAAAGCTTTATTTTTTATAAAAACATCTTAAGAAACATACATTTTCAAGAATGTAATTTGTTACTTACCCAAGATTAGGTTGACTGGAATGGACTGTTGCTCTTACAAGAGGGGGTGGTTGGGCCTGAACAACAGCCTGCATAGTTGTAACTGGATATACTCCAGGATACTGAGTTGCTGTATTGCCGCCACCCCCTCTACTCCTACTTGATTGTTGTGTATAAGTTTTTTGTTGTGCAGATATTTGCTGCAATGTAAAATTGATATCACTAAATTAAAAAAATATATAATGAATTATACTTTTAGTATAAAAGTAAACATTATTTTGATTCTTGCTGTTAAGACACTTATTGTTAGTAAATGTTTCAATGTACAATGCTTTTAATAGTTCATATAGATACTCCCCTACAGTAGAGATATAATTCTTGGTTTACGTATATCTCTATAAGCGTTTTCTAGTGTAGATTATTTTAATACAGAGTGTCCCAGATATAGGTCGAAATATTGTAAAGGCAGAAGAGATTCTTTAATGGAGTAAAAATTGTTCTGTACATAGTATTATGTCCAGTCTGATTTCATTTGCAGGAATAACACCTTAAAGATTTACAACATTTTCACCCAATTCTGATGTACTAATAAGCATACAATTTTCTAATTTTGTAAATTTATGAAAAAGTCCATGAAGAATATTATAGTTCAGCTGTTATTAAACTTGACAAGTTCAAAAAGTGTGTAAAATGAGTTCAAGCACACATATATATATATAGTGTAACTCAAGAGACTATTATCCTTATCAACTATTCCAAATGATCCAGTATACAATTCATGATGACACAGCTAAGAATTCTCTGCAAAACGAAGTAGTGTTTCACATTATAAGATAAATTGTTATTAGCTGATTTTTAGTTGTAAAGCAATCTCTGACAAGGAAACAGCCCCAACTTCGGATCGCTGATTTTAATCAAAATTTTAAGGCATATTGTGATACATCAAAATGATTTTTAGAAGGGATGATTTGAACTCTGACCGTCACCGTAGAAAACATGAACGTCGCCCAACCACGCTACAACATTCGGGAATAATCGGGCAACGTATCTTATATGTAAGTCAGGTGGAAAACTTCAAAAGCAAATAACTCTAAAAATAAAAGAGGAAGACGCCTACTATAGGTCGTGATGTTTCGTTAAAATCAACGAACCGAAGTTGGATCCCTCTACTTGTAAGAGAACCTTAGGGTGTTCCAAACAAAATCCACTTTGTCATACAACTGAAATGTCTAAACCAACAACCTAGTTAAGTGTGATTGTCTGACCAATATTTTTTAAATACTCTCTATCCTAAAATCATGCTACTGCTTTTAAGGTATTACCTATTAACGCAAAATGGAAACAGACTGGACATGATATCGCAGGATCCTTTTTTGTATATTTGAACTCCTTTACCACCCCGCTTAACCCTTCTAATTCAATGAGCCGATTTGAATCGATTCAGTTAATGTGCGAAGATTCTAGATATCTACGCATTTAAAGAAGCTATTCGGTAACTGCAGCATATCTCGAAAAACATGTCATAACTAGAAATTTTTTAAATAAAACCTTACATCCTCTTGTTTCTCCAGTGGGACTTCAAACAATACACGAGGAGCATCTCATGCCGAAAGCAGAGGAGTTAATGTACCTCAACTAATATCAGAGACCGACTGTGTTATTAAACATCTTTGGACATTTAAATAGTTACACTCGCACTCTTTTGCTTAGACTGTAAAAGAATGAAACTAGTAAAAACTTACATTGTGCATGTTTAAGGACGACGGCATTCGTATAATGGAATTCGCCTGAGAAACGAGCGCCGTTTGGAAAGTAGGCTGACCACCGACAAGTCCCGTCCACCCGTTCACGTTCTGCACCGTGTTCAACATTGGTTGCGATACAATGTTTGGTCGTCCGGAAGACAGTGCCGTCGGCGAAGGATGCGCGGGATGCGTAGTCGCGACGGGCCTCGGCTGGCTAACACCACGTTGTACTTGGGACGTATTGGCAACTGGTCCACGCGGTAACAGATTATGCAAAGGTGCAGCACGCGCGTTAAGTGTCGGTTTGTTTACGTTATTTTGCACAGAAACAGGTTTCGTCGCAGGCGGTGTCGGTGGTTGTTTTGTCCAGCCACCGCCACCACCGCCACCTTTACTATTCACTAACAACTGAGAGTCCATAACTTTGGTCGGCCAATAATCCTCGAACCCGGTCCCGGGTGGGAAGTAACTTTTAATGTCATTCAAACTAATCACTGAGCATGTCTCACTCGCAAACAGTTCGTTACGTATACCCTGTACTTTGCAACAAAACTTTAAATACGACAGGTCCCAACCTTCGAGCTTCTCCGCTTTCAGTTTCAGATTCTCGGTCTCGCCCTCGAAATAAAACAGGGGAACGTATTGTAGATCGTCCTTCACCGTGTAAGGAACTACCGATTCCTTGTTTATTCGAATAAAACCGCATTTGTCGGCTTTGTGACCACCGGACACGTTAGGATTAGTGCCGGCCGTCAATTTTGTGTAACACACGTCCAGAAAGGTGTAAAATTCCTTCGCGTCCGAAAGCCGTACCACCAAGTCTTTACAGGTGAATTGTTCACGACCGAATTGATTCTCGCAATGTTTCACGTTGATCTCGGTGAACAGTTTACTCTCTGCTTCGGTGATATAATAACTCCGTATGCATGTGCAACTGTAGATGTCCGAGTGCAGATAGCTCAGGTACTTGTTCAGTAGCTTAGATTCTAGGATCCGTACAGCGCAATACTTCTCGCCCGAGCGAAATATGTACGGTATGTGACAGTCATCGAAACTCGTCCACCCGAATCGGCCTCTTTGACTGTCGTCATCGGGCGGCAGTTTTCCTTCCGCCGTGGAGGGTTTCGTTGTGACGCCGGTGGACGAATCGGCTGGCCTTTTATTCAAATATCCTAAGATACCAGGAAGATTCGTTTGCGGAAGGAGACACTGAGGAGGCCGTTGCTGCGGTGCCCCTGGCACCCCGCACACCATTTTCGCTTTGTTTGCTTCCACCATTTTGGCAGCCAATTCTCGGATTTCCGCTTCATCGGGAAGTTCTTCTTTAACGACAACCTTATCAAACCCTAAAACAAATACAAAAAAACATACCGTAATTAATTCAAATGATCGACAAGTTGGTGACTTAACATAATTAACCCATTCGGATAAAGCAACGAACTTTGCTGTACCTAAATGAAGCGACAAATCTTATCTGTGAGTTGAATTCTACCATGAGACGCTACATGTCCATCGTTATAATGATAAAAATAAAAAAATATTTTGTGGCTTATGCATTAAACAGATACATTACTAGGTTGTTAATAAGTTAGAGTTACAGAGAGGAGTAGTCACGTTACCCATACCATTGGATAATATAATTACGTACGGTTAGTATAAAAGTTAATAATTACATAGGTATATGTTCTGAAAATTAGTTCTTCTTGTGACCTAGTATATGTAACAACTTTTCATAAATTATACATGTCCCATCCTGAACAAAAATCGAAAACAACAACCGAATGGGTTAAATGAAGATACAAAATACAATTATCTGCACCTCTGTAAGGAAAATAATCATCCGTCAACGAGGAATCCACACGTACCTAATTTGACTATTATACTGTTCAATTAAACAATACGAAAACAGTTATCTACCGTAGCTTTTTGAAACGAAATAATGAACTTATTTACAACCAATAATAACGAACAACCAATCAAAATTTGTAACAATGAAAATTTTAAACGAGAAAGTATCAAATATACACAAAGTAATGAAAAATTGATCCTTTAAAAAAAAGGTTTAATATAAAAAATTTCATATTATCCCATTTTTCTAGATCATTGTTTATGAAACACAATCGTTGATCGATGGAGAAGAGCGCGGGAAAACAGGTACATATCGCTTGTCAACATACGGTTACGATGTGTAATCGTCAATGAACTCGAACAATTATGCCTTATCGTTCTGACGTACGTATCGTATAAAAATGATGATCCTGCATTATCTCAAACACCATTTAAAGTGTTTCAGATTTAGAAAGTGTTTATACATTGACTTTCACGATGCAGAAAATTTCGATGTTTTCATACCCGTTGTACTTCCGACTGTGCGCATGTCAGACATCGTTTACACAAAAATAATTCGTACGACAGAACGAATAATGCAGCGATACGATCACAATTTAATTAGACTTATTTAAAATTTTGAACAGTACATTTTAAATGCCAAATCGATATGAATGACAACAATCTTGCATACATAATTACGTATGCTTTCGTACGGTACACAGTTATGAAGAAGAAACACGGACAGTGCACTCTGTAACGGACAGTATTACAAAAATCGCTGTTTAATTTATACGGTACATGATAACCGTCATTTTTAATTATCGTGTACGAAAATATTTTTTAAATCTTACTAACGAAATGAAAATCACACTGTACAATGTCACTAACAATTGTGGCAAAATAAAAATGAATCAAATTTGAACTCGATGTAAACGCGCACTCGCAGTTTGGTAAAATGCACACCAGTACTCGGAAAACATCGTGCATATGCATGTAACGCGTGTTTAATAGACACCCCACAATCAATTCTCGTAATCATTTATAATTTGGATGTAATAATTCTCGACAATTGCCTTGCAAGCAGCGTAAAACATTTCACCGTACCTTTCTATAGTATCAACGAACCGAACGAAGGAAAAAAAAAATTAACACACCCTCGCGCTCTTTTCTACCAACATCGATTACCAACGAAAACAAGGCTAACGAAAACCGGGCGGACTTGTATCACGAAGAAATGATCGACGGATTCGATTCACTAATTCTGGAAAGCACAACATCTTTCTTTCGTATGGAAAGATATATTTAGGACGTACTGAGTGACACTTGATCGGGCGCCGTCTGCGACGGATTCCTTCTTTTCTCGAGCCATATGGCGTCCGTGCTGCTATCAGCGTTCGCTGTGTGCATGTCCGTGATGTCGTTCCTCATCTTCGACGGTGTTTACGTGTTGTGTCTTAGTTAAATTGAATATTACATTTCGACGGATGCAAAGGTGGACGCAAACCAGCGAAGAGGTTATACGCGAGTGCGTCCCCGTCTACCGATGTGCACTGTCGATGGGACGACACACGACCATGTTACACGACGAGGAGGAGAATCAGGCTTCGATGGAGGAAAAGTTCCTCCTGTTTCGACTCTCTCGGCTTCTAGTTTTCACGCTTTCCCTCGACGTTTCACTTCGTCCGTTGACTACAATTATAGCAGGTGGTGTGAAACAGTTCATCACGCTCGGCTCTCGCGAGAGAGAAAGAGAGAGAGAGAGAGAGAGAGAGAGAGACACTTAGAGAGGTAGATAAACGTACGTAGAAGACGGTACCCCGTTGACACTGACTACGTACATGTTGTTTGAACGGGCGTACCTCTGGACCCCGGCGAAGCTTTGCCGTTGATTATGGTGCTCTCAGTCGAGGGTAGCGCCATGTTAAGCGGACTTGGCCTCTGTAAATCTTCGATTCCAGGCCGCCCAGTAGGCCATGCCGTAGCATCGAGCTATCTGGCTGCAGCTGCACGGGACACTAGGCATTCCGCGGTCTAGCCGACCGCGAATCCTACGGACCAGAGCGGCACGCTTAGTTTTCCACTCGGACTGTACCGCTAGGTACGTGCCAGTATCGTCCTCCGGGCACACACATGTCCACTTCACTTTAACTTTCCATTTTTAGGAATCCATCTGACGTTTGTATTAGATTCGATGCTTACGATCAATAGTCCTTTTAAATGAACAATTTCGACCGTCTTTATGTGGTCTTTTTTAAATTAACTTTACATTACATTTAATCAATACGCAATGACAAGTTACTCGGTCTTCAGGCTTTATAATGTATCATATACCACGGAAAATTTGTCCCTCTTTAGGAAGATTGATTCTTCGAGTCTTACAGCTTCAATTACGGCAGGTAGTTTGAACTGGAGAATATCATATTAAAAATAAGATTATGACCGGACATATAAATTGCTAATTCCTCGATGCTTTTGTTCTCTTTCTTCATTTAATTGTCGGAGATTTAGATGATACATATTAGTTCAGAATATCTCTATTATTCAGGATAAAAAAGGGATTGAGTGACTACCCGGTAACTGTCGCCATCTATACGCCACATTTGATATTATTAATTGTACAAAGTCTAGTTTCATGGTATGACGGAGAAGTAATATATACACGGGTAATTTGTATTAAAAACGTAAATGTAACTGTACTGCGAGATGATTAAAAACAAGTATTGATGTTAATTAATGCCTTGATTGTTGAAAATGACAAAAGAATTATTAATACAATATCAAATATGAAGAGAAATTTTCTTGTAGAAATGAATAAAATATATAATACGAATGTGTCTTTCTTTATCCTAATTATGATATAGTTGCGTACTTCGATGTTCGATACACAGTAGTATATAAGAGCGTTGCGTGGCGGCAGTCTTTAGTCGAAGCCGAACGGTGACAAGGGAAGGGTGTATTTAACTTCGTAGTATAAAATTCCTAAAAATCTCGAAACTAATTACTTAAATAGTTCTAAAGTTTTGTTCACACATGTGTATACTGTTTAGTATATATTAAATACGACAATATTAAAACACATCACTATGTTGGTGACTGTCAATTTCGTTCGTTTCACCGAACACACGAGTGCAGGGAAAATTAATAAAAACTTGAAAAATCTTTATATCCTCGTTGAATACGCATGTCTGTTCCGTGGCATGTGATCGACGTTCAAGTCTCGACTAATAAAACTTTTATCACTTTTTGTTGTTACACGTATATAAAACATACTTTGTAGTATAGATTAACGCGTTAACAATATGTACCATACGCCACAGTGTACGTGCTTGAAAATTTACACAACGCAATATCGTTTCCGCATTGTAACGATTTGAAGCTGACTGTACGCACATTGTCGACAACGAATAAGAACTGTAGGAAAGAGCGAAGCAGAAACGGGTGGTAAACCTTACAGTACATAACTCGTATATATATATTGTATTTACTCGAAGCACCACGTTTTTGAAATACGCCGAGACGACGAACTGTGTTCTTACACGGTCTGTGTGTTTGAATCTTGCCATTTAATGGCAGTGTTATCCACATTGAACATTCGTGTATATAAATTACTTCAGTGTAATTAATGAGTATTTTGTAACAATATATATACATATTACGTCTGGGTAGGAAATTTATCATACAAATTTAAAAAATATTTTTATTTTTATTGCTCAATTTCGTAAAACTATTAACTGTAATAACAATACATTTTTTTAAAAATAAATTAGTACCAACTTCCAGACTTTTTTTTTAAAAAACATAGTGAAAGTTGGAAAACGAGAACGAATTTTATGAAAGCAACATAGGCTTTTGATTTCTCAAAAAATAAATACTAAATGTGACAAAATATAGTTTGTTAAGATTGCTTAAAAATGGTTTCCTTTGTAAACCGTGTATCCTGTTCCCCCTCCCTCAAATTTTTATTTCTATCATACCATAATTGTGAATAGACACAATGTCTGGCGTTAATCATTACATGGTATCCACTTTCAGTCATAGATATACCATGCTTTGCACAAGGCACATCACTGAATCATATAAATAGGTGAACCATATATCGTTGATCGAATTTCGCATCGTGTGCCAGGGATCGGCTGCAGCAGCTAGGTACATACCGCTCAAAGAGTGGCCAGGGCCAGCGCGTAAGATCGCGCAGACGATGTGACAACGTCGCACGGTCGATATGCTCTTTCAGGCAAAGTGCCAAGATTGGTAAACGCACGCGGGGGTATATAGTCGTGGTTTCAGGTGCCCTTCCCTCCTCTACACCCGCGTTTCACCCCCACTGCCACTCCTGGAACTTACCCGTGAGATTCCGCGTGATAGTGGGGGTCGAATAACAAAAGTGGGGGAACCGAAGCTGCGCAGAACCCAGCCAGACGTACATCGCTGTTTGTGCCTTTGCGCAGCTCTTACATACATATACCCGTCGGCCTCCTATGTACTACATATGTATTATACTTATTATTTTAATCATGATTTACGGTCGCGGTGTTGCCGTTTTTCTCTGCAGGCACGCCCACTCCGTCTCTTTTCTCATTTTTTAGTAATATATACGAATACATAGAAGATGTATGCGGAGAAAAGCAACCTCGCTTGATCGATACCTAAAAGAAACATAATAAAAAAAGCATGCCGAATCAGCCCGTCCATATCATATTAACGCGATCCGAAAGCGGATTTTAGAAGTACGTAAGCAAATATATTTTATAAATGTGTTCAAAGAAAAACGCGAATACAAAGAAAAAGTTTTAAAGATGGACTAATGTTTTAGAAACAAGTAAATGCGAAGAAAATAAAAAGTTTGTATTATTTTTTCTTAATAGATTATTCTCATAGCAAGACAAGTGTCGAACATTATAATGATACGATGTTGCCGTCTCAAAATGGCAGACACGGCCTTGATTAGCCCGACTTCTTCTACGACGTACGTTGGGCCAGTCGTTTTGGCAACGCTGGAAGGTCGCAGCGATCTATTTATAGTGGTCCTCTATTGCTGCTGTTGCTATGCCGAGTGAAGGCACACTAAATGCGCGGGGAGGGGAAGTAGTTGAGAATGGAGGGGGTAGAGATTACTGAAGAACAATATGGCGGTGAACTGGATGTGCCCTCTTCCAATTTATCTATGTATTCTCCTTGCCATAACCACGCTTCCTTTCTCTATCTGTTCATCGTGCTACGGTCTTTTTCTGCCAGTCTCCCTTTTTTTCCCTCTCTAACGACGCGTTCCGTATTATATTTTGTTCAATTACGAAATTACTAGAACAATTTGTTACGTAACGCAGTGAAATATCATAACATTTGGTATAATATAGGCGCATAGCCTAAGCACGTTTAAATGAAACATGCTACCTTCCATCACGATAAGACGAACGACGGCGAAGGTTACCGCCTTGTTCGTTTCACGACAGGAGAAGGAATAAAATCGTGGGAAAGAAAAAAAGAGGTGAACGTTCGATAGCTATGATGGAAAAGGGTCGTCCAAGTATGCTCTATCATTTTTGTAGACGTAATTTTTTGCGCAACTCCGTAGAATTGCACATGGCGGCGTACACTTGTAGCAGCTGACAGTTTTCGTTGTGTGCGTTTCCATGAGTATACAAGCACGCATGCGACGTGCACGAAGCCGTCGCCTCGGGAATGCTCGGCAAACTTCGTGAAACTGCCTCTTTGTTACATCATTCTTCGGTTCTTATGTAGTACATAGGGGCGGGTACATTATATACTGCGCCTGCACATATTTCCCCCCAGCTCTCGCTCACGTACATACAGTGTATATAGTTGCCTTTGCATATATGTGACGCCGCCGAAGCAAACGGGCGGGCGGTCAGGGAAGCGAGCTGCGATCCGTGTTACACGAGGCGTAGAGATCTGAGCAACTAGAACGGACCCAAGTAGACGAAGGAAGGATATGTTTTGTTATCGCTAATTTTATCCGATCTATTATTTAGATGTATCTAAACATCTTTATAAATTATTTCACTGTCAGAACTTTATGACACAGTCGACAGTCTTCGAACTAATATAAACTGTTCTTATTGTTTCTTTTACAGAACAAAAAAAAAGTATTGCAAGAGAAAGTATGCTTTAATAGACATGGCACATATACATACGATCAAATTTTTTGAAAAAGAAAATGTACTGCACACGGTAGCCAGATGTTAACGGCATGGGATGTGTTTATACATTGATAAATTTCATTACGCAGGGAAATTCTCTTCCAACAATCTTGCATATTTGCCAATGACAGTTGTTATACGATAGTTCATGTTAATGACCGTTTCATTGCTATTAATGCTACACACGTGACATCAAAAATTTTATAATTACTTTGCATATGAAGTTGAAGTAATTCCATTTTCTTTCATAACAATTTCAAAGACGGCCGCCATACTATCCCCAGTCAATGTCAGTAATCGATTAACTTTTGATATTCTTCCACCTTTAGTGCTGTATCGTTCTTCACCTATTGATAGTGGAACGATGCATCGACGTTACTAATCACACTAGATTGCGGCGTATACAGTACCACGTGAGAAACTTTCTTTCCAATAAACTAGGTTCTAACCGCACATGGAAATAATTGAAAGATAAGATGACATTGAAATGGTTGATAAAACAAATTATGATCGCGTTTAACAGTCGAAAAATGTCGGTGAACTATACTCTGTGCCAATGCTGTTGTCAAAACAATTTTTTTTTATTGTGCCATTACAAGAGCATGACAGTGGCATTTTAGAGATCCCAATAACACAAGTTTTACCACAAAACACGTTTAATCGCCATATAGCAAGATGTTCTTCTTAATTTATAGTAAGTCAAGAAGTAAATATGGTTGTACGATAAATTACTATTTCAGATTGAGTATAGATACACTTTTTCAAAGAATAAAAACATTTTCTGTACATAAACAATACCCCGTCTTTGAATAAATTTATCATTCGTTTGGAAATCTTGTTAGTAAAAATTGGCACGTTACGAGGTTCATGTAATGTTTTACCTTCGTGTAAGTTATACAGTTCTCTAATTGAAGTATTCGTTACACAGTTTCTTTCGAAAAAACATCTACGATATTGCCAGGATCATCTTACCGTTTGCTTTAAATAAACCGTGACGTCACCCTCTGCAAGCACACGCGAATAAAATGAAATGAGAATTAACATTCTTTTATTGATCATACTTTGAGGTTGCATTAAAATTGAATGTTTTGTTATTCATCATTAAGGTTACAATTATATATAAACAAATGGACTTGAATTCAAATACATTTAACGAAATTGACATTTATTTTAATAAGCGACCACTCAGAACAAAATCAACGAAAATATACATAGTTGTAATGAAGTTAAAAATTGACACGAACTTGTATTCCTCGGTTATTTTTTGTGTGCGTTAGTGCACAATCATGTGATTTCTACATCGTGATGAAAATAATTAATTAACACATTAATTCTTTGTCGCTATGTCGAAATGTTGCCGCATATAGTATGAACAATTTTTTATGTATCGTTAAAGGGCTGACAGTATCATGCAAAATCACCTCATAAACACGCGTCGCAAAAGTGTAGTTACTTTTAGATATTGCAAGAAAATATTAATGCAAAACGTTTTACATAACTGTAAACCTGTTGCCTGACTAACAAAGTACAGCAAGCGTAAGCACACGTGAGTGTAGATATTTACAAACGGGAGAACCTTTAACAACAAAACTCAATGGCAACCGGGGCCGAAGAATATTTGGAAACCACAGAATCGACCGAAATCGTGTGTGTGTGTGTGTGTGTGTGTGTGTGTGTGTGTGTGTGTGTGTGTGTGTGTGTCAGGCTTTTTACAACAGGTAAAACGGCTTCCCGAGTCACCACGTGCCGATGTGGTCAACACGAGTGTGTCGCAGATGTTGACAGGTAGTCGCATCGAAGAACCACGTTTCGCCGGGTTTGCACGAGGCGTAACTCGCAGAAAACACAGAAAGCACGATGTGTGCCTCTAGGCGCTGAACACTACTGATAGACACACAACACTGAGAGGAAATGTGATTGAATGTGATAGGTAGAAAATCGAGTGAGAGACACACCGATCAAGGGGAAAAGGATAGGAATAACCATCTACCGAGGAGAATACACATGCCAGAAGGAGAAAAAGAGACAGAGAATGGCGAAAGGAGAGAGAGAGAGGGGGGGAACGATACGCGCGAGTCTGATGTCGCCGCTGCCGCTGCCGCCGCCGCCACCCATAACCTCAAAGCTTACCTCTTGTGACTCGGGCTTCGACGATTTGTACGTCTTCGTCG